AGCTGGGCTCGTCCGGGATTTAAAGCCGGGACCTCTCGCACCCGAAGCGAGAATCATACCCCTAGACCAACGAGCCATGGAATGTCGGTTTATTTGGGGTGCAAACTGAAAACAAAACTAAAGAGGCAACCAGGGTGGAAAATTTAGGTGTTGAACCATAATGAAAGGGGCTCGTCCGGGATTTGAACCCGAGACCTTTCGCACCCGAAGCAAAAATCATACCCCTAGACCAACGAGCTATGGAACAACGATTTTCTTTTGGTGTGCAAAGTGGAAACAAAACTAGAGATGCAACAAGGTTGGAAAATTTAGGTGTTGAACCATAATTAAAGCTGGACACTTCCAGGATTTGAACCCGGGACCTCTTGCACCCGAAGCAAGAATGATACCACTAGCCATGGTGCGTGGGTTTTGTTTGGTGTGCAATGTGGAAACAAAACTACAGATGCAACAGATGTGGAAAATTTAACCATAGTTAAAGCTGGGCTCATCCTGGATTTGAACCTGGGACCTCTCACACCCAAAGCGAGAATCATACCCCTAGACCAACGAGCCATGGAACATTGGTTTCATTTGGTGTCCAAAGTGGAAACAAAATTACAGATGCAGCAAGTGGAAAATTAGGTGTTGAACCATAATTAAAGCTGGGCTCTTCCAGGATTTGAACCATGGACCTCCCGCACCCAAATCGAGAATCATACCCCTAGACCAACAAGCCATGGAATGTGGGGTTTATTTGGTGTGCCAAATGGAAACAAAACTACAGATGCAAAACATATGGAAAATATAGGTGTTGAACCATAATTAAAGCTGGGCTCGTCCAGGATTTGAACCCGGGACCTCTCGCACCCTAGCAAGAATCATACCCCTAGACCAACAGCCATGAATGTGGGGTTTATTTGGTGTGCCAAATGTAAACAAAACCACAGATGCAAAAGGCATGGAAAATTTAGTTGTTGAACCATAATTAAAGCTGGGCTCGTCTGGGATTTGAACCCGGGACCTCTCGCACCCTAAGCGAGAATCATACCCCTAGACCAACGAGCCATGGAATGTGGGTTTTATTTGGTGTGCCAAATGGAAACAAAACTACAGATGCAAAACACATGGAAAATATAGGTGTTGAACCATAATGAAAGCTGGGCTCGTCCAGGATTTGAACCCGGAACCTCTCGCACCCTTAGCGAGAATCATACCCCTAGACCAACGAGCCTTTGGAACCTTGGTTTTATTTGGTGTGCCAAATGGAAACAAAACTACAGATGCAAAATATGGAAAATTTAGTTGTTGAACCATAATGAAAGCTGGGCTCATCCGGGATTTGAACCCAGGGACCTCTCGCACCCGAAATCGAGAATCATACCCCTAGAACCAACGAGCCATGGAATGTGGGTTTATTTGGTGTGCCAAATGGAAACAAAACTACAGATGCAAAACACATGGAAAATATAGGTGTTGAACCATAATGAAAGCTGGGCTCGTCCGGGATTTGAACCCGGGACCTCTCGCACCCAAGCGAGAATCATACCCCTAGACCAACGAGCCATGGAATGTTTTTTTTGGTGTGCAAAGTGGAAACAAAACTAGAGATGCAAACAAGGTTGGAAAATATAGGTGTTGAACCATAATTAAAGCTGCGACCTTCCAGGATTTGAACCCGGGACCTCTTGCACCCGCAAAATGATACCACTAGCCATGGTGCGTGGGTTTTGTTTGGTGTGCAAATGGAAACAAAACTACAGATGCAACAGATGGGAAAATTTAACTATAATAAAGCTGGGCTCATCCTGGATTTGAACCAGGACCTCCCGCACCCTAAGCGAGAATCAAACCCCTAGACCAACTAGCCATGGAAAGTGGTTTTATTTGGTGTGCAAAGTGGAAAGAAAACTACAGATGCAACAAGGGTGGAAAATTTTGGTGTTGAACCATAATTAAAGCTGGGTACTTCCAGAATTTGAACCCGGGACCTCTCGCACCCAAAGCAAGAATCATACTACTTGCCATGGTGCTTGGGTTTTGTTTGGTGTGCAATGTGGAACCAAAACTACAGATGTAACAGGTGTGGAAAATTTAACCATAGTACAGATGCAAAGCCATGGGCTCGTCCGGATTTGAACCGGGACCTCTCGCACCAAAGCAAGAATCATTCCCCTAGACCAACGAGCCTTTGAACTTTGTTTTATTTGGTGTGCCAAATGGAAACAAAACTACAGATGCAACATTGTTGGAAAATTAGTTGTTGAACCATAATGAAAGCTGGGCTCGTCCGGGATTTGAACCCGGGACCTCTCGCACCCGAAGCGAGAATCATACCCCTAGACCAACGAGCCATGGAATGTCGGTTTTATTTGGTGTGCAAAGTGGAAAGAAAACTACAGATGCAACAATGGTTGGAAAATTTAGGTGTTGAACCATAATGAAAGCTGGGCTCGTCCAGGATTTGAACCCGGGACCTCTCGCACCCAAAGCGAGAATCATACCCCTAGACCAACGAGCCATGGAATGTGGTTTTATTTGGTGTGCAAAGTGAAAACAAAACTAAAGAGGCAACAAGGGTGGAAAATTTAGGTGTTGAACCATAATGAAAGCTGGGCTCGTCCGGGATTTGAACCCGAGACCTTTCGCACCCGAAGCAAAAATCATACCCCTAGACCAACGAGCTATGGAACAACGATTTTCTTTTGGTGTGCAAAGTGGAAACAAAACTAGAGATGCAACAAGGTTGGAAAATTTAGGTGTTGAACCATAATTAAAGCTGGACACTTCCAGGATTTGAACCCGGGACCTCTCGCACCCGAAGCAAGAATGATACCACTAGCCATGGTGCGTGGGTTTTGTTTGGTGTGCAATGTGGAAACAAAACTACAGATGCAACAGATGTGGAAAATTTAACCATAGTTAAAGCTGGGCTCATCCTGGATTTGAACCTGGGACCTCTCACACCCAAAGCGAGAATCATACCCCTAGACCAACGAGCCATGGAACATTGGTTTCATTTGGTGTCCAAAGTGGAAACAAAATTACAGATGCAGCAAGAGTGGAAAATTTAGGTGTTGAACCATGATTAAAGCTGGGCTCTTCCAGGATTTGAACCATGGACCTCCCGCACCCAAATCAAGAATCATACCCCTAGACAATTTATTTGGTGTGCCAAATGGAAACAAAACAACAGATGCAAAACACATGGAAAATATAGGTGTTGAACCATAATTAAAGCTGCGTTCGTCCAGGATTTGAACCCGGGACCTCTCGCACCCTAAGCGAGAATCATACCCCTAGACCAACAAGCCATGGAATGTGGGTTTTATTTGGTGTGCCAAATGGAAACAAAACTACAGATGCAAAACATATGGAAAATATAGGTGTTGAACCATAATTAAAGCTGGGCTCGTCCGGGATTTGAACCCGGGACCTCTCGCACCCTTAGCAAGAATCATACCCCTAGACCAACAAGCCTTTGAACCTTGGTTTTATTTGGTGTCCAAAGTGTAAACAAAACTACAGATGCAACAAGGCTGGAAAATTTAGTTGTTGTAATGAAAGCTGGGCTCATCCGAGATTTGAACCCAGGACCTCTCGCACCCAAAGCGAGAATCATACCCCTAAACCAACGAGCCATGGAATGTGGGTTTTATTTGGTGTGCCAAATGGAAACAAAACTACAGATGCAAAACACATGGAAAATATAGGTGTTGAACCATAATGAAAGCTGGGCTCGTCCGGGATTTGAACCCGGGACCTCTCGCACCCTAAGCGAGAATCATACCCCTAGACCAACGAGCCATGGAATGTGGTTTTATTTGGTGTGCCAAATGGAAACAAAACTACAGATGCAAAACATATGGAAAATATAGGTGTTGAACCATAATGAAAGCTGGGCTCGTCCGGGATTTGAACCCGGGACCTCTCGCACGCACATACCCTTGGAGCAAGGAAACAAAACTCATACCCCTAGACCAACGAGCCTTTGAACCTTGGTTTTATTTGGTGTCAAAGTGTAAACAAAACTACAGATGCAACAAGGGTGGAAAATTTAGTTGTTGAACCATAATGAAAGCTGGGCTCATCCGGGATTTGAACCCAGGACCTCTCGCACCCAAAGCGAGAATCATACCCCTATACCAACAAGCCATGGAACGTTGTTTTTTTTGGCAATGCAAAAAGGGGTGGAAAATTAGATGTTGAACCATAATGAAAGCTGGGCTCGTCCAGGATTTGAACCCGGGACCTCTCGCACCCTAAGCGAGAATCATACCCCTAGACCAACGAGCCATGGAATGTGGGTTTTATTTGGTGTGACAAATGGAAACAAAACTACAGATGCAAAAATATGGAAAATATAGGTGTTGAACCATAATTAAAGCTGGGCTCGTCCAGGATTTGAACCCGGGACCTCTTGCACCCAAAGCAAGAATCATACCCTAGCCAACGAGCTGTTGGGTTTTATTTGGTGTGCCAAAGTGGAAACAAAACTACAGATGCAAAAAGATGGAAAATTTAGGTGTTAAACCATAATTAAAGCTGGGCTCATCCAGGATTTGAACCCAGGACCTCTCGCACCAAAGCAGAATCTACCCCTAGACCAACGAGCCATGGAATGTTGGTTTTATTTGGTGTGCAAATGGAAACAAAACTACAGATGCAACAATGGAAAATTTAGTTGTTGAACCATAATGAAAGCTGGGCTCAACCGGGATTTGAACCCGAGGACCTCTCGCACCCAAGCGAGAATCATACCCCTAGACCAACGAGCCATGGAATGTGGGTTTTATTTGGTGTGCCAAATGGAAACAAAACTACAGATGCAACAATGGAAAATTTAGTTGTTGAACCTTAATGAAAGCTGGGCTCATCCGGATTTGAACCCAGGACCTCTCACACCCAAAGCAAGAATCATACCCCTAGACCAACGAGCCATGGTGTTGGTTTTATTTGGTGTGCAAAGTGGAAAGAAAACTACAGCTGCAACAAAGAGTGGAAAATTGAGGTGTTGAACC